TAATAACATATGCCACAAGATTTACTGAGAAATCTCAAACAGTAAGACATCTCACAATGTTTCCAGTGTTTCAAAGATTCTCTGAAAATAAATCAAGATTGTTAGAATTCATAAATGTTAACAAGACATCAGCTAGACAGTACAAAAACCAAGAACTGGGAATGTGATACCGTAACTCTCTTTCCTCCTCAAACTTTTACTGAAATGTTGTCAGAACTAGAAGTGCATTGTCGTGAGAATTATGTAACAAAAGATACAGTAACCTTCCCTTCACAAACCTAGCATTCTAGTGGCAGCAACAAAAAAAAGTATACAAATAAAACTTTTAATATTAAAATACTAGCATAAAGTGAGACCAAAATTATAATTGTTGTAGTGTCTACATTATGTCTAATTATCAATAACCGGGTTAAGCAAATTCCCTCAGAGTTCTCTTTCCGAAAACTATTTCACATATTATTATTTCCATAATCTATCGTCCCTTTGCACTTCCTTTCTATTCTATTCTATTCTGTTCTGTTCTATTCTATTTTATTCTATTCTATTCTGTACAGCCTATTAAAATCAAGAGGAAATAAAAACAAAAACATGGAAGTGTGTGTTCGAAGGTTATGGCTGAAGATATTCATGACATGAATTAAAACTCACACCAGACCAGAAATGGTCATGGTAGAAGTCCTAGGTGAAATGAACTTAGTCTGCGAAAATTTAAAGAAAGTTAAAATTTAAGGAGCATAAATGAAAATGTTCAAGTAGTATTTTTTCAAATACATAGTTATGGATCAATCAACTCTCTTTGGATAGCTAGTGGTGAATATAGTAACAGCGATTTCATAGCGTAGCTGTTTCATTAGTACCTGAAGATAGTATTTATATACCCAATATTATGCTTGTGATTATTTATAGCTATAATATTGAAAAATTAATAACCAAGAGGAGAAAATTTAGTATGTTTTTGTACATTTTATAAAGTAGAATAAATTGAGAGACTAAACATGCAGGCACCAAATAGCAGAAAATAACTGAAAATCACATAAAATTTTAAAAAACTATAGCTTTGTAAATCTGTCCCTTTTGGTATATATTAAGTAATATATTAGTTCTTCTTCCAGTGTTGAAACAGAAGACTGTTCAGTAAAGCATCCAATATGAGACTCTAAAGACTAGGGGTCTTTAAAAAAGCAAATAAGAAGTTAGTTTCTCTTAAGAAAGAGAAAATATCTTCAGATTAAACATTTTAGAATAGTCTAAAAAATAAGTCAAACATTTTATGGAAAAGTGAAAGAATTTTCCTTATTCTACGCATTTACTATAACAAACTATATTGTCTCAGATATTATACTTAATTTTCAAAAAAATGCACTTTTAGCACAACATGTACTACATATTACTATATACTTATCTTTTCATTGCACGTATATGCATATATACACATATGTATATATGTATTCACTATCCTTTGAATAGCAACTTTTCTATTCTTTTCTGAAAACAGATGCACCTTGAGACCATAATATTAAGTGAAGTAAATCAAATACACAATTGTAAATATCACTTGACTTCTCTTATATGAAAAAATCCAAAATATAAATAAAAGATAGATCAAAGGAAATGGAAAGGTTTATCTTTTACAAATGAAAAGGGAACCAAAAGATGGCAGGAGGGGAAAGGGAGAGGAGAGGAAGGAAAGGGAAAAGAGGAAAATTACTATGTGCTATGTACATGTACCAACTTCCTATGAGTAATGTGAATTATCATATACTATAAGCATGTACCAATAAAAATTTAAAAACACTAAAATGTTACATTGATAATTGTAGACATATCAAGTCTCTCAATGTTTTTTTCAAAAAATATCTAATTCTAAGGATACAATATGAAGTCTTTTATTCAATGATGTATTTGGTTTTTACTCCAAGAATGAAACTGTGGTAGAGCGAACTGTACCAAAATCCAATCACACAAGAAAAAATGGAAAAAGTTGGTTGGCTGCAGCTTATATGAAAAAAAGAATCACTGATGGGATTTTAGGTAATACTAAGCTATGTGATTAGACATGATATATTTCCCAAAATCAGTTAATACAGCTTCACACTTTGTTAAGAGAATCATTTTTAAACACAAAAGGCTACAGACTAGTCTTTCTCTTTATTTCAGCCTTATATGTGAGCAATTTAAATGCATGTTCTTTTGACTTCACAAAGTAAGAGATAAGCACCCTTTTTAATTTTCACAACATGGCCTTCAGATTACACACTAAGAGTAGCCTCATCAAATAGCTCAAACTATTGTTCAAATTCATCAGAAAAACAATTAAATTGCTAATTCTTTAAAGGTATAGAATACATGGCAGTGATATTTGTGTGCTTTAATACATAATACATAGTCAGTAAATGTTTACTGAAAAAATTAATTTATTTTCAATATGAAGGAATGAATATTAACTATGTTAAAATCCAAAATAATCATATTCAGAGCCATGCTTTGCATCTTGCTAACAAGTTCACATATTTAAGTACATATTTGCACCTTATCTGGCAGATATATTTCTCTAGATTCATTGCTAGGAAGTGACGTTCAATATTTTATAGGACCCAGTTTAAGTGGACATTTGGCAATTGCAAAAAGTTGAAAATCTATAGATAACTCCATCAACCACTGTCAAAATATAATCTAGTTTATACCTAACATAAATTAAATCCCACATCAAGGAATACTTCATGACATTTCTGAGAAAGTAAACATCATCACTTCCATTTTTTTTAGTAAAGATTTTTCAAAGACAAGCAATGGAACGATAAGTGAACTAAGAGACGTAACTTGCCAATTTGTACGCTTCATAAATGTCAACACATAAGATTCACTCAGGAATCCCGGAAGTTCTCCTGATGGTCGGTAGAGCATGGGAAACCATTTAGAGCTTTGAATAATACAGGCAGCACTCATGTCATAGGTTCGCCAATTCTGGTCTGTCAGAAAGGCTCAAGATTGAGCATGATATCTTTTTAGAAAGGCTCAGGATTGAGCATGATATCTTTTCCCACAACAGAGTTTAAAGTTAAATTTTCATCACTCTGGAAAGTATCAAGAAAACACCTAGTATTTCACCTCCCCAAGGTTCCCTGCCTTCATCAGAAGAAGGAAACTCCTTAACTGTCACAGTCTTGATAGCAGTTTCATTGGTAATTCCACAGGATTAATCTTTTCTTTGTTGTTAATTCCTCTTGGATAATTCCTCTTGGATACAATTCACATGGATAAAGCAAAATTTTTGGTATCTCCTAAAACTATGTACTTATCCTCTAACATTCTATTTACTCCCTAATTCGGCCCCTCTTTGTATTCCTAAGAAGCTCTTGAGGCCCTAACTCATGGCTTGTTATCTGCAAAACCTCTTAAATCTTACCTGCAACTTGAAAGTATTTTCTTCTACTTACTTTAAACCTGATTTTCCATGAAAACATATCTTTCTCTGTAACCCTTTCTACTGATGATTCCCTGTGTAGTACTGGGCTTGGAGGGACACGTCTTTCCTGCTCTTTGCAGTAGACTCCATTCCTTTCTTCCCTGATACTTTCTAAAAACACTCATCTTGGAAGGAAGCAGTCCCAAATTTCTTCTAGTTCATCACTAATCTTTCCAACACTGCAGTTAATGTGAAAGAAGCTGTCAGGGTTGAATCAAACAGATACAGAAGAGGTGCCAATATTTTAATTTGTATTGTAATTGCATATTCTAGGCCTGCTTATGAGGTCAATGGGACAAGACAAGATAGCAAACATGCTATTTTAAAATATTTTATGAACAAAAATGCCAACACAATGAAAATTCAGTGTACACTGAATTTGAAGAATGCTATTAAATGCAGTGTGGGTACTACACAGGGAATCACCGGTGGAGAGGATTGCAGAGAGACTGTCTTTTCCCTCTCACATTCCAAGGATTTGCTACAGCAGTACTTCCTGTAAGTTGGAAATGAAACTCTCATTCTTTGTCTTCTCTTCATGCATTTACAAATCTCGTCTCGTATAATCACCTGAGTTAAAAATTACTTCTTGATTACACTTTTCTGTTCTGTGCTTCTCCTTGCAGCAAAATTCTTTAAAAGGGCAATATATATTTATTTCCTACTTTTTGTCAATCTGTTCTATCTATATAAACACAATCTCATCAGAAATGCTCTTTCAACTCTACCCTACAAGACTGTTCCTTCCTGAGACATTTTTAAAGCTGTTGCTCCACATATATTCTGTCTTCTCTCCTACCATCCATATATATACGCAGTATAATCCTCATAGTCTTTTGGCTTTTCTCAAATTTCATTTTCTTAATGAGGTTTACTCTGGCTCCCACTCAAAATTAAAACTTTGAAATTCTGGTGTGTCTTAGAAAACTTCATTTTTGCAACTCAGTAACTTTGATTTAACATTGTAACATATTGAAATAATATCTTTATATGTAGTCATTTTTTAATAATTCTTAATAAAAATACAGTAACACCAGAAATCTTTGCATATTCATGCACGGATGAATTTTAATTCACTTAAAAATGATCATATCATACAAATGGCACACAATTAATCTATAATGACTGAATGATAGATTCTATGTTTCAAGATATGAATCCTGAAAAAACATATCAATTAAGTAAAAAAAAAAACTCAAATAATAAGAAAAAAAGAGGGAAAAACAAGTTATTATAATCCAAAGTGGATAACATGACCAAAAGTGTACCTTGACTTAGGACAATCATCTTACATGTTTTATTTATTGTTTGGCCCATTGTCTGGTTTGTAATATCTATATATGATAATTAACTATAAGGTCTTATAAGGTAAAAAAAAAAGAATCTGATAGTGTAAAAAATGGTGATGGAGAGACGGAGGAAACAATTCAAATATACTGTGAGCATGAGCAAATTCCCTACAATGAAGATAATCATTTCACATAGCTAATCAGTACTAATAGAAGTTTAAAAAAAAAAAAAAACAAAATACAGTGCTCGCTTTGGCAGATCATATACTAAAATTGGAACGATACAGAGAAGATTAGCATGGTCCCTGCACAAGGATGACACGAAAATTTGTGAAACATTCCATATTTTTTTAGCAGAACTGTTTGCAGTCTTACTGTTTGAATATTCACTTTGTATGCTTTAATTTTGTAACTTGAACAACTATTTCTAAGATGACAGTATGTAATTTATCAACTAGTGATTTCTTAGTGTTTATTTTTGAAATTCTGTATTTTTCCTACCCTTTTATCTGTTTTGATTTTTTTCTCTTTAAATAATATTTTTTTAAAAATCCACTTTCTAAAAAGGCAAACAAAGATATTTGTTCTAATTCTTGATAGCAGGAATCTTTCCCTATTTGATTTCCATTTAGAAAGCAGACTATAAAACTTAATGATATAGTAACAGAAATATAAAATAAACACAGAAAATAATCAGTTTTGGTCATTTGTAGACCTACACTAACAAATGTAAAATATTCATAATTAGAGTACATAGTTGTTAAGATAGCACAGAAAAGCTACATAAGAATAACTATCTAGTTTTTCACAATATTTCCATATTTAATCAAACTGTAAATTCTTGATATAAATATTCAATTAGTGAAAAGTAGGATATCCACAAAAAAACATAAAAACCTGATTATTGGAAAATATTGTACAGGTAAAATGCTAAAGGAAGCCAAAATAAATGAGTATTACCTTATAGAGACAGGCATAAAAATTGTAGCTGATACTCAGTGATCAAAAATATAAATTAGAAGACAATGGCACAATATTACTGAAGTAGCAATACAAAAAATATTAACCAGATTTATATAAATTATAGGCCAAATAATGAAATTTTCATAAAATCTCAATATAGAGATTTAATCATTGTACATACTAAGTTCACGTAAGTATTAAAAACAATATACTTATAATGGAAAATAATAATACCATATCAAAACTCAAATTGAACAGAATAAAAGAAGTATATGGAAAATCTAAAGGACTTTTAGGTTATTATTTAAGGTTTTTCATTACAAGTTAATGAATTCTTAATGAATGAAAAATCACATGCAGAGTTTTGTAAATACAGTGATGTAATGTATAATCATACAAGGGCTGGGGATGTGGTTCAGTGGTAGAGTGCTTGCCTAGCATGAAAAATGTCCTGAGTTCGATTCCCAGCACCATATGTATATATGTACGCATATACCCATATGTGTGTGTGTATGTGTGTGTGTATATATGTGTGTGTGTGTGTGTATGTGTGTTATGTGTGTGTGTGTTTATGTGTAGTTGCACAAAAGACAAGGAGAAATGAATGTATTTTGTGAAATGGCACATTACTAGTTAAAGTTAGACTCTGATAAGATGAAAATACTACAAATATTTTAAAATTGCAACTAACATAAACATACATATTTATTTGGCTTATATTATCAATCATATCCATTTTCTTTAAAGTAAGTTAATTCTAGTACGGATTTTGAATTCTACAACTTAGTTATAGCTGTTGGCAATGTCTTTAAAATTAATGCAAACTTTTCTCAAATTTAAAACAGGTTATTGGACTATTTCTTAATCTATCTACAGAATTAAAGTGGGTTTAGCATTTGTCTCTAGCACTAGCCCAGCTGGATTTAAATGATGAGATTTAAATTCTCATCATTTATTTAATCTTGGTTTGCTTCTTCTTTTTATGCCTGAAGTCCGCATCTAGAGAATGAAGTCTGCATATCTTCTTTTTTTCTTTCTTTATCTTCTTTCTTTTCTGTTTCTAAAACTTTTTCTTGGCTTTTTAGAATAAGTGAGCTACTATGTAAATAATATGTTAAACTCCAGCACAAAATGCAAAGATAATATTTCTTGATTAAATTAAAAAAAATAGTTTTATAATAAAGTTGAATCGTGGTTAAGGAATACGTTTATAAAATCCATAAATTTGCTAATTTTTTAGTCTGTAATTAGAAACCATGGTAGAAGTGCACTGAGCTAGGCCTTTCTTGCTTGTGTAAAGTCATTGTGCACATCCCTGCCCAACTCTCTATTTAGTAATGTCCCATTGGTGGCTACAGCTGGACATACGGACAATGCACAGTGTAAAAATCAGTACATGTGACAGATCACTTTTTTTTTGTTTGTTTTGTTTTGCATTGAAGAAAAAGAGATCCAAAAAACAAAGATTAGCAGGAAATCTGAATGAAAGCTGCATTGGAGGCTACTAAAAAAAATAAATAGATGACTGGGAAGCACTGGACCATGAGTAAGAATTTATGCTTCCTAAATAAGATCGCACCTTAAAACACTTCTGGTAATATTTTTAGTTATAGTTTTAGGAAATACTTTACTTTTTATATAAACACTGAAATCACGTCAGGGATTTAGCTGAGAGGCATAAGGGCCTGCCTGGCAAGCATGAGGTCGTGAGTTCAATCCCTGGTACAAAAAGAAAGAAAGAAAGTGAAATCACTATCTATTTAATATTTCTTTGCTTCTATACATTTTCCCCAAGCTTTTAAAAATAATGGCTTTCCAGAAAAAGGAAGGGAATGTCCTGTCCTTTAATTTCTTTTCTTTTTTTTTTTTTTTTTTTTTTTTTTTTTTTTTTTTTTTTTGTTCCTTTGTACCAGGGATCCAAATCATGACCTCTCCTTTGCCAGGGAGTTGCTTATGCCATTAAACTAAATCCCCAGCACTCTATCCTTTAATTTACATGGAAACTTCATCTCTAACCTTCAATCTTGTAGTATTTATTTATTTCCCAGCAAATCTCACTAGTGTTGGTTTATAAGTGCAGAGAATGAGAAATCTGAAGTCAAGACTGTCAAGAAAAAGGTATTGATTAAATAGAATTTTAAATGAGTACCAACATAAAGTAATCAGAAAATCACTTCTGTAAAAATTATAAAAGTGTATTAATTATCAAAGATAGAATAAAACACATTCACATGATTATTTGGGCATCATTATAATATTAATATTCTTTTTCTGATTTTGATTAAATACTCCTGGAAATCGCTTCTTCATTACATTTGTCATCAAAGAAGTGTTGCACTGGTATTTTTAACTCCAAAACCTTATTTATAGATAATAATTATGCCCACTTTTTCAGTGAAGATTCACTTCAAAACTTCCACCTCATTTCAGTTTATATTCATAAACTTTTGCATAGTTCCTGGTACGTAGTAGATGTACACATAAAGTTTTTGTTGTTGTTGTTGTTGTTTTGTTTTGATTGGCTTTTTTGATACAGCGCATTGAACTCATGACCTCAAGCTTGCCAGGCAGGTGCTTATGTTGCTAAGCTAAATCCTCAGCCCCTCCACATAAAGTTTTAATGAATTAAATGTTGAATTAAATATTTCCTTTTTTGTTAAGTGAATAATTACTGAAATTATTGATGAAGCATTATGCAATGCTTCTAAACCTCCTAGCCATTGGTTTTAAGTAATTTAAGACTGCCCTTATAGTTGATATTACCACTGCAAAATGTTTTATACTGAATTTTATGCATTACATAATTTAGATGAGACAATCATGAATAAAGCATAGTTCATCAAAGTGTTTTCCATTCAGCTGGAGACTATGCAGTGGATAGATTAGCAGCTTCAATGTTAGAGGATGTAGTTTGGCTCCTGGCTCTGCTATTTTTATAATTTATAATTTAAAATGGTTTATCTGTTTCCTCAGGTGCTCAAGTTCCTTATATTCAAAAAAAATAACAACAATTTAGCATCAGAAACAATCAATCATTCACCTTTTCAACCTGACCTCAATCACAGCTTAAATATTTCTGGTGGATTTTGAGGCTTTCTATTTCAATGTCTGTGTCTGCATCTCCTATTTCTCTGGAAATTCCTAAGCTGCTCACAAAAAATCTTACAATCTTGAGAATGCTGGAGCATTGTTTCCATTTTGAAATGCAATGCTCAATAAATGGGAACGGAAATTAGAGAATGAATTGCCAAATCTCTGTTTCTTCTGGTTTAGAATTGACCCTAAAATACAAAACATGCAGAACTGAACTTCAGATCAATAACAAATTATTTTAGTGTGTTTACTATTTCAATATTTACTTATAATTTAAATTTAATTGATCATCCTCTATTCTATCCTCAACTTTGTTACATATTGTGACCTAATTATGGGAGTGATAGACCATTATTTTATTCTTTCATATTCAAAAGGATAACTTACATAAGACATGTACCCCAGGAGGCAGGAATCTTTCAGACCATCTTAGAATTGGGTTCGCATTATAGTCCAGTATCCATTATGCTTTATCTATAACGTTGATCAATTTACTTCTCCTTCCCTGTCTTCCCATTTGTAAACTTAAATAATTGTACTAAATAATCTCTCTGAAATTTCAAACTTTGACATTATAAAACTTTATGGGAAGGTGATAAAATTATGAACAGTGATAATAACTGGTCATCTGGCAGCACTTTCAGATGCTTACATTGGATTCAGTAGGTAAAGGGAAAGTAAGTAAAATAAGACCCTAAAAGCAAGTATTTAAATAAACTCAAGGTATACATTTATTGCCAGTCACCTTTTGGTTCAGCCACTGTAGGATTCAAAGCATAACATCAGACTTTTCAAACATTCATTGAGCTATAATCATTCTGGAAATCTTAAATTTGAGGGGTTTGACATAACAAGTAGTAAAACCTAGTAAAATTCTGAAAGTCGTGGTAATTTTAATAGCTTCTCTTTTAAAACAGTGAGTTTTATTGCAATGTAATCTGTCATATTATAAAATTGTATTTCGAGGCTAATAAAATGATTTATAAAATCAGACATTAAATGTGTTCTTGGTAGTATATTAATATTAGAAAGATGCAGGAGTACATAAACTATAGATGCAATGAACTTCTCTAGAGATCACTGAGCAGTTGTGCCAGAAAACATAGTTCAGTTCTTTAGCAAAATTTAGAAAGCGTAAATTCCTAAAAGGAGGAAATAAGATGAGATGAGAAATAGAGTTTTGTGTTTTGTTATAATTCCATTTAGACTGCTCCCAACTTGATTTGAAATCTTAGTAGTGCTTTTAAGTAATTTCTTTGGAAACAAGACAATGTATAACTCCTTTCTGCAAGTT